ATGATAGAATACTTTCATCAGGACTTACTTTAAGACCTTCAATCCTTTGAAGGAATGCCTGAGAATTTGTGATGCTGTATTGTGATCCAACAGCGAGGCGCTTCAGATGCCTGTAAAGCCATTTGGCTAGGTTGTAAGTGGGTTGTAAGTATATATATATATATATACTACAGCATAAACCCATCTTCTCTCATGACAGAGCAATATCGATTTTTTCGGCATGTTTAAATTTTGACTGTTTTTTCACACTTACTACACGTCTGAAGACGAGCTGGGGAATAAGTCTCGAAAATTTACGAAATAAAGTTTGTTAATTTTCCCAAAGGACTCATTCTTCTTCGAAGGTTGACAGGTACGCCTTGCCGTTGATGCCGTTGCCAACAGGCCGAACTGTGTCCCGCCTGAAAGGGAGCTAGATTTTTTCAATCACTTGTCCACCCCACTCCCCCCGATCCACCACATGGTTTTACGACTGCTGGTTTGTAAAGCACCTGGCAGACCCCCTCCTCCCCACCCTCGTTCTAAAATGAAACGAGAAATGTCACATAAGCCGCCCACGTTCACGCCAGTCCCGGCAACCGCAGGTCTCTCCCCCTCCCCCTTCCTCCTTCACCCCACTGTGACCGTTCCCAGTGCATCTACACCATACCGTGGCCAGTCCTTTCAGTCACTCCCTTGTGGCAGTGTTCAGAAGTAGAACACTGTTCCACTAACCCACGTAGGAGTACAAAGGTTGGGCCATGGTTAAATGGGAACGTTTGTTTACCTGAACTGGGTTATCCATAATTTATGGTAATACTCGCATTTTTTTAAATAAATCCTCGGTAGCCCGATATAGGTATACGGGGAGACTGTTGGTGTCGACATTGCAGCATGCAGCATGCGCCGAAAAATAAGAAGCAGCTGGCCAAAATTTTCGACATATATTCAGGTAAAATCTATGGGCAAAGAAGAAGGAGATGATGATGATGATGATGATGATGATGATGATGATGATGATGATGATGATGATGATGATGATGATGATGATGATGATGATGATGATGATGGCGGTGGCAGTGTTGGTGGTGGTGGTCTTGGTGGCGGCCGTGGTGGTGGTGGCGGTGGTGGTGGTGGCAGTGTTGGTGGTGGTGGTGGTGGTGATGATGATGGTGAAGGGCGGAAGAAGAGAAATAAGAAATGAGACTGATCGGGCACCTGAAGCATTTGTTTATTTGTCTGAGCTTTCGAACTCGCGCAGGGGACCAGTGGCAGAAACAAAAGTAGCAACATTACTGGTGGCAATTATTGGGATTATTCGTCAATCAACCATCGGTGACGTACTTTTGGAAGTGACTGTCCAGGACTCCGTATGCAGACGCCAGATCAATACGTCGATTTACTGAGTTATCATCTGGGGCTCAGGGGTTTCAGTCAATTTTCTGCTTGCCTCGTTTCCAGCACGGGCGATGACCTTGGTGGATTCGAAGTTAAATTCGCTACCCCCTTCAAAGGTGTGATCAGCCGCTAGTGTTAATCCATTTGTCAAAAGGTCTGAAAGTGTGTGCGCAGTTTCGTATGCGCTGGCAGTTCCCTGACACATGATTCCGTGCCAGTAGATGCCTCGCGCTCCCGCTGGGTGTGCAAGTGGTGGGCATGGCTGCCCACTCATCATCCTCGTCCTTCTGACATCTGCTGCGATGTTTTTGTTGTGGTTTCTGCTGCTGTCGTTGTTGGTCAAAAACCTGCTCATTTGCTGTGTGTGCCAGGGAGTATTGAGTGAAACATCAAGGTTCGGACGCGACGGTGCCGTCCACCGGCGCCCTCCCCCCTCCAGTCTTCCTGACTCTCTCCCTCTTGACACCGGGTCCAGATGGGGAGTGAGGAAGAGAGAGTGCGGTAGAAGCTTCGAAAGTCCGGTTTCACTATAAACCAATTCAAGTGTAAGTCATCGTGCCTGCTCTCAGCTCGCTGTGGAGCACACGGGGGATATCGTCGGAAACGACGGTCGAACTGTAATTCTCAACCCCATAGTCAGACTGACATCTGGACTAGACCAAAATGCCATCTAATGAGTCCAGATGGGGAGTGAGGAAGAGAGAGTGCGGTAAATGCTTCGCGATCAAGCCTCAGGTGTTCCACACTTCGGGGTTGAATGTTGTTGGCTGACGACGGCTAATGAGCCATAAATGGCCATTCCAGTCTCCCTTGTCTTTTGTCGGTAATATTACTCTGCCTATATTGCTCACCGCTGTGCTGCTGGTGATTGGACTCGAGAGAGGATCCTAGGGCACAATGGAATGACTGAGTTCCGCAACACGATTGATGAGCGCCCCTCTAAAACGACAACGTCCTATGCATCTTGCCATGGATTCTATTGGTGATTGATAGAACGTCACCAGATAGTTTTACATCGTAAGACACGTGATCAAATTAAGGTAGACTGGCTTCTAAAAAAGATAGGAATGAAGGCGAAATTTCGAGTTCCAGGTGTATACATATTTGAAGAAGAAGAAGAATCGAGCACCGGAACAATTCGTTTATTATCCTGAGCTTTCAGAATCGTACAGGAGTCCATCGTCAGAGGTAGTGGCAGAAACAGGACAAGCGGCAGTTATAAGGCACGTAGACCCAATCATCGACCGACGTCGCACGACTGGAGGTGACTACGAAGGGCTCTGTACGCCGGTGCCAGATCGATAAATCGATTGACCGAGATCTCATCTGAGGCCCAGGCTTCAATCAATTCTCGGCCTGTTTTGTTTCCGGCGTGGGCAACTATTTTGGTGGCTGCGAAGTCAAACTCGTGACCCATTTCGTAGGTGTGGGCGGCCACTTGTGATAATGCGTCGCCTCGCCGCACAGCCAGCTTATGTTCATGTATGCGCGGTCCGAGCATGCGTCCAGTCTGTCCTGTGTAATTACAAGGACAATTTTGACACGGAATGCGATACACTACTCCAGATTGCTCTTCAGGTTTTAACCGGTCTTTGATCTTCATGACCCTGTTGTGCATGGTGGCTTTGGGGCTCAGAATGCTCAGAATGCTCTCAAAATTGAACACCTCATGAGGCTGTTTGAATTCTGCCAACAAACTTTCTTCACTTTTGCGGGAGAGACCTATGAACAAATCAAGGGAACCCCAATGGGCTCACCGGTCTCCGGTTTGGTGGCAGAACTGATCCTACAGGAGTTGGAAAAGATTGCCTTCCTCCAACATGAACCGGTGTTTTGGCGACGTTACGTTGACGACACGTTCGTCATCGTAAAGAAGGACATGCTGCAACATTTTCACAGCCTGCTCAACGCAGTCTTCCCGGATATAAATTTCACGAGAGAAGAAGAACGGGAGCAGCAGTTGCCCTTCCTGGATGTGCTCGTCAGACGAAACCTTAACGGCGAACTTGAAACGACGGTTTATAGGAAGGCAACGAACACCACACAGCTTCTCAGTTTTCACAACAACCATCCGGTGGCTCACAAACGACGCTGTGTGAAGACGCTCTTCAAACGGATCCAAACTCATTGCAGCAAACTAGAAGATAGAGCGCGTGAGGCCCGTTATCTCCGCGACCAGTTTGTGCAAAATGGCTATCCGAGGGCATCTATAAGTCGCTGCCTACGCGGTCGCCACCAGAGAACTCGAACATCAACGCCACCGACGATATGGCATTCACTGCCATACATCAAGGGTGTTTCAGAAGCGACCGAGCGCATTGCTGCGGAGCTAGGTGTTGGAATTGCACACCGTCCCAAAGCCACAATGCGCAACAGGGTCATGAAGACCAAAGACCGGTTAAAACCTGAAGAGCAATCTGGAGTAGTGTATCGCATTCCGTGTCAAAATTGTCCTTGTAATTACACAGGACAGACTGGACGCATGCTCGGACCGCGCATACATGAACATAAGCTGGCTGTGCGGCGAGGCGACGCATTATCACAAGTGGCCGCCCACACCTACGAAATGGGTCACGAGTTTGACTTCGCAGCCACCAAAATAGTTGCCCACGCCGGAAACAAAACAGGCCGAGAATTGATTGAAGCCTGGGCCTCAGATGAGATCTCGGTCAATCGATTTATCGATCTGGCGCCGGCGTACAGAGCCCTTCGTAGTCACCTCCAGTCGTGCGACGTCGGTCGATGATTGGGTCTACGTGCCTTATAACTGCCGCTTGTCCTGTTTCTGCCACTACCTCTGACGATGGACTCCTGTACGAGTCTGAAAGCTCAGGATAATAAACGAATTGTTCCGGTGCTCGATTCTTCTTCTTCTTCTTCTTCTTCTTCTTCAAAGATAGGAATAACCAGAGGGCGTTTATGGCAGATGTGCACATCACATGTTTAATCCGGCAGGTCCCAAATTTCTAGAAAAATGTCACATGCGCAGTAGTCGTGCATACACCCACACCAGTCCCTACGACCAACCCCAACTGAACATGCAGCCGGCATACGAGGACCGAGAGAGAGGAGAGAGAAAGAGGTCGTTCCAGTTCAGATCCAACGCATAACTATTGACAACAAAACGGGCCTTGTAGTCATAACGACGGACTTACAGTCGGGGACAGGCTATGAACTAGAGGTCGCGCCGCAGCGGCTTTCGCAATGTGACCATTGTGATCCTACGATCATGTAAGAATGTGAGGAACCTTTAATGAGGTTTTATACAGGTAATGTTAGAGATCAGGTAGTGTGTCTCACGCGCTGATGGACTATTTAGCCTTGTTAGCCGCTGCTTCCCTGCCCACCGCCGGTTGTCTGATCTTTATCTCGCCATCGAACGCGGTCGGATTGGCAGGGGTGAGTGGAGTATTTGCTGCGCAGGTTCGCTCCTCGACAAACTTACTGACAGTTCGACCGTCGTGACCGATGATGTCCACCGCCGTGTGTGTTTCACAGCAGGTTGAGTGCAGGGACAGTGACTTGGGCGTGAACTGGTTCATAGAGATGGTAGACTTGCACAGCATCTATCGCATTCTCTCCCCACCCACCCCCACCTAAGTCCGATTGCAAGACGGGGTCAAAAAGACCGAGGGCGGCAGAGGAGGTAGGTGGCCGGCGAGACAAAAACCCGCAGGTAGGCGCATCGCCAGCGCTCCTGGTCTGCCACAGACACTGACCAGGATTTTATACCACAACAAAAACAGGGGGGGCAGCAGGAATCTCAATTGGCGAGAGGGGTATACCGGCCTACCATCATACCCAAGTGTCGACATTTGTTGTGGGTGCACATTCTTGACTTCGTCTGTTGGTCTCCGATCTAGCTCCCCCCCCCCAAGTTGGTTCAGCACATCTCTCATGTGACCCCTTTTAGGTGCACAATGTGCCGGTGCTGGCAGTTCTCTGACACCTAGATGCTCTTGCGCTCCCGCTGGGTGTGCAAGTGGTGGGCATGGCTGCCCAGTCATCATCCTTGTCCTTCTGACGCCTCTTGGAGTGTTGTTGCTGCTGCTGTTGTTTTTGGTCAAAAAAATGGTCATTTGCTGTGTGGACCAGGGGGTATGGAGTGGAACGCTAAGGTGCGGACTCGACAGCGCCACCCACCTGCTCCCTCCCCCGCCTCCGGTCTTCTTAACATGCGGTCCAGGTTGGGAGTGGGGAGGAGAGAGTGCGGTAGATGTTGCGAAAGTCATCGTGTCCGCTTCACTTTTCAGTGGAGCACACGGTGCACATCGCCAGAAACGACGGTCGAACTGTCGTTAATTCATCACCGGCCAGCCTGTATTTGCTATGCCCGATCCGAGCGTGCGTTCAGTCTGACCCCTTTACAACGACATTTTGGGCAAGGCTTATAATGTATTACGCCTGGCTGCTCACTGGAACATTTGCCCTTTTTTATTTTCATGGCCGTCGTGTGTATTATAGCTCTGGGCCGGTGGGCAAATCGACCACCTAGTCCCACAGCGATGCGCTCGGTCGCCATTGAAAGGTCCTTCATGTGTGGTAGAACATGTCACATCATCGATGGTGTTTTCAGTGGGGTCCCCTGGAAGACATACACGTCTCTGGATAGCCATTCCACACAAACTGATCGCGATGATATCGGGCCTTACTTGCTTTCTCTCCCGGCTTGCCGCAGCGAATCTGGACTCGCTTTGTGTGCTCTCTCACGCAGCGTCTTTTGCAAACTACCGAGTGGTTGTGGTGAAAACTGAGAAGTTGCACGGTGTTTGTTGTCTTCCTTTAAACCCTGGTCTCTTTATGGCCGTCTGGCTTTGCTTGGCGAGCACATCGAGGAATGGCAGCTGCTGCTTCCGTAAATTAGGCGAAAATGAGTTCAGCAGCTAATAAAAATACTGAAGCATATTCTTCCTGACGATAATATACGTGGCATCAAGGTATTGACGCGCTAAAAGGCCGGCTCGTGTTGGCTGAATGCAGCCTTTTCTATCTACTTCAGGACCAGTTCTGCCACTAAGCCGGAGATCGGGAAACCCACTGGAGTTTCCTTTGTTCTCCCGCAGAGATGAGGTTGGTTTTAAAGCAAAATTTATGTAGTCGGCTCTGGCTTTCGACGTATGCCTCCTAAAGCTTGTTTGTCAAATATTGCGTACGCCAAATTTGGCGCGACAAATGTGAATAACGACGTCGCATCGAAAGAGACCATGACTTCGGTCGTTTCAATCCTCCGACCTCGAAAATCTGCAAGGAACTGTGAATCAGGTTGGAATGAGTCCGCCAAATTGCCTCGGAAGAACTTCAGTACATCAATTTTACCAAATTATGGATGGAGCTGTTTCTTGGAGCAAAGACTCCCGCAGTGGACAGTTTGATTTGTGGAAGACTCAGACAAAATAAACTGATGGTTACGACACTCGATTACTATTGTTTGTCAAGGCTAAAACATAATTAAAAATGAATTCGGAGACGATAGCATGCAGTCCACTGATTGGTTGCCTTTTACACTGACCATGCAAATTTGCTCCTTCACGTGGCAGCATTCATCCTAACTGCTGTTACGGCCGTTAGAATGTTTTAAACTCACCGTGTCACGGCCGATCGCTTTCCGTCGTAATTTGGTCCGAGCATAGACTTCCGAGCGTAGTTTAGCCAGTCGGCAGGCCGAAAGCGCAGACTGTGTCACAGAACAAGAGCTGTGCTCTGGCTCAGTGCTGCCTTCCTCGTTTCCACCAGATATGTCACCTGACACCATATATACCTTATGGAACTAATAATGGAATCCCTTTAGATAAAATTCTGCATATTAGTCATGCGTAAGTCTATGCTAAGGCCATATCAAACGTATATAGCAATATATTGGATAATAGTAAACAGTCGACCACTACTCCGATAATGTCACATTCACAAGAACAATATGATACATGGTCCAACATTATTCCGACAGCTTTGATTGTGACTTAACATTGAATGCTTTCTACTCCTGATATATATATATATATATATATATATATATATATATAGGCAGAAATGATATTACCGACAAAGACAAGGGAGACTGGAATGGCCATTTCTGGCTTATTAGCCGTCGTCAGCCAGCCATACCCAAGCCCGAAGTGTGGAACACCCGAGCCTCGAACTCGCGACCTGTTGGTTTAGAAGTCAACGCCTCTACTCACCGGGCCACGAGCCCGTTGCCTTGTCGGTTTTCGATCGGGAATATACAATGTTAGGGGGCGCTCACCGATCGTTCATACGGAACTCACTCGTTCCGTTGTGCCTTATGGACTCTCTCTCGAGCCCAACCAGCAGCCGCACAGCGGCGCATGATATATAGGCAGAATAGTATTACCGACAAAGACAAGGGAGACTGGAATGGCCATTTCTGGCTTATTAGCCGTCGTCAGCCAGCCATACCCAAGCCCGAAGTGTGGAACACCCGAGCCTCGAACTCGCGACCTGTTGGTTTAGAAGTCAACGCCTCTACTCACCGGGCCACGAGCCCGTTGCCTTGTCGGTTTTCGATCGGGAATATACAATGTTAGGGGGCGCTCACCGATCGTTCATACGGAACTCACTCGTTCCGTTGTGCCTTATGGACTCTCTCTCGAGCCCAACCAGCAGCCGCACAGCGGCGCATGATATATAGGCAGAATAGTATTACCGACAAAGACAAGGGAGACTGGAATGGCCATTTCTGGCTTATTAGCCGTCGTCAGCCAGCCATACCCAAGCCCGAAGTGTGGAACACCCGAGCCTCGAACTCGCGACCTGTTGGTTTAGAAGTCAACGCCTCTACTCACCGGGCCACGAGCCCGTTGCCTTGTCGGTTTTCGATCGGGAATATACAATGTTAGGGGGCGCTCACCGATCGTTCATACGGAACTCACTCGTTCCGTTGTGCCTTATGGACTCTCTCTCTCGAGCCCAACCAGCAGCCGCAC